GCTATGCAGGAGACAGAGGTAAGAAGATGGCAATTGAACGCCAGTCCCAGGCAAAAGCGTGAGACCCTAGCTTTAAAAAATAATACTAACCGGGTGTTGGTGGCTCACGCCTGCAATCCTAGCTACTCAGGAGGCTGAGATCTGAGGATCGCAGTTCAAAGTCTGTGAGACTCTTATTTCCAATAAACCACCAGAAAACCGGAAGTGGTGCTGTGGCTCAAGTGGCAGAGCACTAGCTTTGAGCTGAGGAGATGAGGGACAGCGCCCAGGCCCAGAGTTCAAGCCCCATGGCCAAATAAATAATAATAATAAAGAAATCTAATAACAACAGATGCTGGATGGGATGTGGCCAAAAGGGAATCCTACTACATTTTTGGTGAGAGTGTAAACTTGTTCAACCACTTTGGAAGGCAGTATGTTGGTTCCTCAAAAGACTACACATAGAGCTCCCCTATGACACAGCAATCCCACTTTTGGGCATTTACCCAAACGATCTCAAACAAGGCCAAACTAAAGCTACCAGCACAACTATGTTTATCTCAGCATTATTTACCATAGCTAAGATATGGAACCAATCCAGATGCCTCTCAGTAGATGAATGGATTAAGAAAATGTGAGATATATATATATATAGATATATAGATATATATATATGTATATGTATATATGTATATGTATATGTATATATATATATATATATATATAGTAATTCTATGCCTCCATCAGAAAGAATGACATTGCCCCATTTGTTAGGAAATGGAAAGACTTGGAAAAAAATATATTAACTGAAGTAAGCCAGGCCCAAAGCAGCATAGGTCCCATAGTTTCCCTTATTTGCAATAGCTAGTATATGTATAGGACAAGCAGAAAGGTCAAAAGCTATGTACATATGACCATGTAAGATGATGATAAGCAAAATGAACCCCAAGATAGGGATACAAGAGGTTTTATCTTTCTTGCTGTTGTTTTTAATGTGTGTATATATATATATATATATATAATATATATATATATATAATGTACTATGTGATTTTTTTATTTCTTTTGTATGTTCTTCTCCCATGGTATAACCCCTGTTTTCACTGTATTTGATGTCGGTTTCCTGAATCTTGTATATACATTTTTCTAATTTGGGAAGGGGAAGAGAAATAACAAAATGCTGAAATAAGGATACAGGTTGACCCATTATAACAATGAGATGTACAAGACACTATGTTGAAAAGATGTACAAGACACTATGTTACAACTTTGGGGGGGGAGGAGTCGGAGAGGTGGGGAGGTGGGGAGGAAAGGGATGGTAAGGGAAAAACAAAGGTAACAATGCTGGACAGGCAATGGACTCATTACCTTACTCATGTAACTGTAACCCCTCTGTACAGGATCTTTACAATAAAAATATGCATAACAATAGCTAAAGCAAAAAGGACTATGTTTGTGTCACAAGTGGTAAAGCACTTGCTTAGCAGGCAGAAGACCCTGAGTTCAAAACCTTGGAATTACCATACACATACACACACACACACACACACACACACACAATCAGTAAATTTCTGTTAAATGAACAGAGGAGAAATAACTGCTTTCTCTTCCCTGATCTGTCTTTAACTTTTTCTAATTCTTTCTCTTAATAAACAAGGAAATTTCCTAACCTTAGGATTCTTAGTTCCTTAAGCACTAGAGACACTTCACCTCCTCTGCTAACTGTCATGCATTCAGGGCCATAGCTGGTGAGAAGGGACTTGAATGTGTGGTGCCCTGATCCTGCCCCCGCCAACTCCTAAATCACTGCCAAATGTGAAAAGCCTGTACTTCCTGAAAACAGAATTTGGCCTCTCCTTTGCCCTGTTATTCTGTTTGGATGTGGTAGCATGGCTGTTAGCCAAAATGGATGTTGTTCTTGTTGTTGTAACATTTTATTTAATCTCCACTGGGAAATTACGCTTCTTGAGGGAATTAGTGGCAATACAAGGGATGTTACTGCATGGAGTGGTATACAGAGCACAACACTGCAGCCAAAGAGCTGAGGGCCTTGGCAGCTCTGCCCTTCCATATTTGGAGATCTCTTTATCTATACAGTGTGGAGAAGGAGGGACAGACTAGATTGTATCTAAAGTTCATGTCACTTTATGTTTCTATAATGTTCAGACACCAGATATTCAATTTATCCCCAAACATTAGCATACAATGTAGGTAGCTTTGGGGGCTGGGGGCATGGTGAAAAATCATTTCAAGGACCAAAACAATGGTGCTCCAAGAAGGATGCATGAGGGGGGAGGTAAAGCTCAATGGTAGAGCACTTGACTATGAAGTGGGAGGCTCTGGGTTCCATCACTGGCACTGCAAAAAAAAAAAAAAAGTAGAAAAAGTAGTAGTAGAGGAGGGAGAGAAGGAAGAGGAGGAAGGAGAGAAGGAAGAGGAGGAGGGAGAGAAGGAAGAGGAAAAGAAGGAAGAGGAAGATGAAAAGGAAAAGGAAGAAGAGGAGGAGGCAGAGGAAAAATAAGGAAATGAGGAAGAAGAAGAGGAAGAAGCAGAGAAGGAAGAGGAGAATGAGAAGGAGGAGGAGGAGGAGGAGGAGGAGGAGGAGGAGGAAATGATGATTAATAATAAGAAAAGGATGGCCTCAGGCACTAAATGGTTTAATCTTCCTGGGACTCTGTCTTCAGGTCTGTGAAAGAGCAATAGCATCACATGGGACCACTAGGATAAAATACCTAATGTAAATGATTACAAGGGGTTGCTATTTAAAGGTAAAATGCTGTTTATGTCCAAAAATAGGCTAGTGGATTTTAGAAGAATACAATCAATATTTTTTAAAATAGACTTTTTCCATCACAGTAAAAACACAATGCATGAAGATACATGTGCTATTTCTTTTTTAGAGTTCACATTTTTTGTCAACTCCTATTGACTGAATATTGTGAAAAGGATCACTAAAATCATAAACCCATACTTGGAGATCAGCACTTTCTCACTTGAAAGAATAGGAAATTTTAGAGTTCACCCAACTCTTTCAACTGCTCTGTTTATGTTGCTGATGCTGGTCAATTAATTGGAAATCAAGCTTTGGAGACAGGTGTTGAGATAACAATAGCAGTGTTTTAAAAAAAAAAAATCACATCCATGTGTTTTTGATATGGTACGTGTGCTTTGCTTACACCAAGCCAACAGCTCCAAGATCCGCTACACCACGCGGCATTCTGCCCACTGGGCTACAGACCCTCAAGTTCTTCCCCTGAGCTCAAGGAGCGCAGGTCTGCAGTGTGTAGGACTCTTCATGCTCTAACCTATTTAGTATCTATTAGATCATAGAGTTTCTCCAAGAGCATCAAGGATACTGTCTCTCTACCAAAAGAAGAAGCTGTCGGTAATACTGACATAAACGGTGGGACCATTAACAATACCATCCTCTAATCTGCAAGACTATCTCCATGCTCCCTGGGGACCAGTAACAAAAGCAAGTACAGTGCAGTAACTCGTAAATAATGATTTGCATTTAAAACCCATGAATACCTTCGATGTGTTCAGGGCAGAAAAGTTCATTGTGGCTATTTGCTTAGTAATTACCACTCCCTCTTGCATTCCCAGGTAACTGTGACTTGCTCTAAAAGCTACCTTCGTTTAAGAAAGGAAGATCTTAGAGGCAGAGATTGGCTAAAAACACCCTTTCATGCTTTCATTCTTAAGAGGCACACACTAAAGAAATAGCTGTTTTTTAAAAAAGCACTTAGCTAACACATACATGATTTGCTATCCTAGTTGATTCCTCTTTTTCATATGTGTGTGTGTGTGTGTGTGTGTATACATATATATGCACGCTGTGTAAGTTGCTTTTTAATTGAAGTGTGCTTATTAGTGGCAGAGGTCACTTTCGTGCCCTTCCTCTACACCCCTAACCAAAACCCAGCAGAAGCTCACGGTTTTAACCTTCCACTCCAAGGCTGGAAACCGTGTTAGGTACCCCTTCTCCAAACCCATCTCCGGAGTGAGCTCCTCTAGTGTCTGGGTAGGAGAATGTCATCTGCCAGTGGAAGGAGCTGGGTCCAAGCCCCGGGCAAAGAGCATCTTAGGCGCCGCTCCTTTCATGGTTGGTAGCGTTTGATGAACAGGTGTAGGCGCCACCTGCCAAGAGCGCCCACCTGGCCCCGAGAGCGCTTCATCCCTTCCCCGGGCTGGGGATCCAAAAGGCGTTAGAAATCCTTCCCTGCCGCATCCCTGCCTCTGCGACCCTCGCCAACCTCCCCGCCCTCCTTGCTACGGAGAAAACAGACAAGTACTGCGGGACAGATGGATCGGACCACGAATCGATCAATAGGCTCGGTGAGTTTGGGAATTGATCGTGAGCAGGACTTCAAGAGTGCATAAAACACTGGCGGGGGGAGGGCGCAGAGGGGTGAACCTCAGCAGCCCAGCCCAGCCCAGCCCACACCCCGGAGTCCCCAAGCCCCTCCCCATACCCGAGCCTCAGACTTTGCGCTTCACGGGTGGAGGGTGGGGGCGGCCAGGACTCAGGGTTGCGGGTGTCCGCGGCCGGCCCTCCCCCGCGGAAGGAGCAGGTCCGGAGCCCCCGGGTCCTTCCAGCGCCGAGGCTCGTTGCGATCTTGGGCGCGCGCGCTGCGGCCAGCCTCCAGTCACTTTTCCCAGTACTTTGCTGATCAGCTGTCTTGGAGATGAGACCGAAGGGGGCGCGAAAGCGGCCTCAACAGCAACCCTAGATCTCTCCCCTCTTGGATCTGGGGGGCGCATCAGACCCCCACCCCGCCCTGCCCAGCGCCCCACACACATCCCCGCCTCCCCCCACACTTCCCCAGCTCCCGAGCCCCCGCTCCAAACAGACTCCCCGCTATTCTGCAGCAGCGGCTGGCACCGGGGCAGCGGGAGGCGTCTGTCAGAAAAAAAGGCACTGCTTCAATCATCATCATCACCATCATCATCATCATCATCATCATCATCATCATTTTTCTAAAAATCTTGGGTAACCGAAATCCAAATGCACCTCTTACCATTGGACCGCCGGACAATATTCTCCAAAAACGTGTTTTGCGGGGCCACCAGTCCCCTTCTGCCCCCGGCCATGGTCATCCTCGCCCGGCGGCTCGGGGTCTGGGGGGCGTCCCAGCTCGGCTCCTTACCGCAGTAGGCAGCGGCGGGACGCGCGGCCCGCGTGCGTTCCGGGATCCGAGCGCCCCATGCGCCCCACCGGGCCGGGCAGCGTAGGGGCGGCGGCTGGCTCCGGCGGCCACCCTCGCGCCCTCTCCGCGCCTCCCTTCCTGCGGGCCGCCTGGCCGTGCACTCACCGCCCGCGCGGGGCTCGGCTCGCCGCAGCCGCCTCCGGGTGGGCGGAGGGAGCCGCGCGCCCGGGCCCGTGGCGCCCCCTGCCGGGCGCGCGTCCCCGGCGGGCGGGAGACCAACCACGCGGGGGTGGGAGGGGGCGTGGGGGGCGAGGGGAGGGGAGCGAGGGGTCAAGAGGGGAGGAGTGAGTGGGGCAAAGGGAGGGGGCGGGGAGGGGCGAGGAGAGGGAGTGGGTGGCGAGGGGGCCCCCTCCGCACCCCAGGAAGCCGCAGGCGGTGGTGGATCGAGGTTGGGGCGCCAGCGGCACCCTCTGGGCACCGCAGGGAAATGTGCCCGGGGTGCACCTGCCGATATCCACTCCCCCACCTCCACCCCCACCCCCAACACGCTCACCAGAAGTCTTAGGGGAGCCTCGATGCCACTTTCTCTGGTACTCTTCAAACCAAAGCTCAAGGCCCTTCTGAGGGTCTGGGGACACCTTCCGGCCCCCGCATCCGGTTTGCGGGGTTCCTGAGCTGGGCCGGGGTCTGAACCGTAATTGCAAGGGGGTAGACTTGTAGAGTGACTGACAGCTTCAGGGGAGGCATCTTGGGTTGGTTTTACGGTGGGTGCCCATGCAGTTCCACATTTGATAAATTCTTCAAGCAACTTGCAGGCCAGGAAAATACACACACACACACAAACACACACACACCAGAGCATACATTAATACATAAATTTTAATATATAAAAACACTAATATAATACACATAACATATATTGTGTATATTTTTATATATGGTGATATATAATATACATACACAAATATATACACACAAACGTATAGATACATATTTAACTTTTTTTAAAGCTAAATAACAACCTCTCTGATCGGTGTGTAAGGTTATGAAACCAGAACAGGCTGATACACATCAAAACTGTGGACTTGCCTCTGATGCTTGCCTGTCTGCCTTTCAGCCTTGCTTAATCATCAGCCTGGTAGAAATCACACGTGCCCAAGTTTTCAGGATAGGAGCCAAAACAACCCCCTTTCATTGGCTTATTTTGGGGGATTTCTACCTGCACATACTCTATACCTTTCTTTCTACTACATATTCCTATTGTGGCAGGGGTCTACTGCTGTGCCACAGATGAGCAATAGGTTGATACTTTCAGACTATCAACAGTCAACCCAAAAGTCAAGAGCAAAACTAACCCAGGAACCTCCTTTGTTCTGAGTTAGCCATCCTGGTGCACCCTCCCGGCTTTCACATCATCCTGCCTCAGTCTACTAATCTCAAAAATAGAACCAATTTCTCCCCCAGAAATCTCTTCCTATAATGAAGAGCACAGGAGATGATGCAGGGAACAGAATTTTACACTTTAAAGTATTATACCAAGGTCAAATGTCATCATTGGAAAGCCTAAATAAATTGGCCCATAACAAATTCAATCTTCATCTAATTGTCGTCGCCAAGTGAGCAGATGACTGCTGTTAGTGGAGAGTCAGATACAACTTGCATGACATTGAAATGAACACAAAGCTACACTTTTCCACAGGATAGCATTCTACCCCTTACATCAGGCACCCAGTTTAGAGCTGCGATTTCTTAAACCCTAGCTCCTTCTAGTGGTGGTTTGTTCTTTTACAAATGAGATATTGGTTGAAGAGAACTTGACTCTGAAATGTATCCAAAGCATTTGGTTAAGTTTGTTTAAATGAAGCTCTTCAGGTTGTGTGATTTATGCTGGAACATTCCCAAGAGGATGTTTAAAAAAATAATCAGGCAAATTCATATTCTTGCTTTTGATAGGAAGATAGAGAAACGAATAGGAGGGGACTCGCTTTGCCAAAAAGAGTTACTAAAATAACGTCCAATTTTAATAGGTTCTCACGTTCCATTGCTTGAGTAAAAAAGGAAACTGATGATATTTATATGTAAAAACTTTAGTAGGCTACCTGACAGCCAAAAGGATCAAAGAATATATCCATTTTAAATGCACTGTGACTGTGGTTCTCAATATGTATTCTGTGTCTTCATCTTTTATTTATTTATTTTTTTTTTGTGGGGCTTGAACTCTGGGCCTGGGTGCTGTCCCTGAGCTCTTCAGCCACAGCACCACTTCCAGTTTTTTGGTGTTAATTGGAGATAAGAGTCTCTCGGACGTTGCTGCACAGGCTGGCTTTGAACCACATTCCTCAGATCTCAGCCTCCTGAGCATGAGACACCGGTGCCCGGCTGTGCATCTTTTTAAATGCTATAACTCTTAGTGGCATACTTGAAACATCTAAAAGAACACTAAAGAGGCATCCATCTTTAACTACAGTATGATAGTATGTCATGGTCTATATCTCTCCCTCCTTCTTGGCTGACCCTCAACACATCTGGCTGTAGGAACAGAACGACGTTCTTCCCTCATTCTCATTGAGATTTACAAGTCCATATTCCTGTTATGGCTGCGTCTTTCTTAGGGCTGGTATGACAGTTCACTATGCTTCTCATCTCTAACTTGCCATCTACTGTTTCCTGCTTTATGTTTAACACCTTCTCAGCTAAAAGTTATAACTCTACCACTGTCATATTGGACTCTCGGAGGAAATTCTCATATTATAAATCTTACAAAAAACTGGTAACATGTTTATGAAGGATTTGCAACACATGGTTATGCCTCCATTAGTTGAGAGCTTCTTTACTTTTATTAACAAAGCCACTTTCATATAAAGTGACAACTGTAACTCACCAGAGTTACAGATAAAAACTGCTTCTGCATAAAATGAACTACTACTGATTCAAAAGTTAACTGAGAAGGCTCAGAGTCTGAAAGAAAAGTCCCAGTAAGATTCCTGCCCCCCCCCCAGTGTTTCTGGGTTTTCCTTTCCTCCTGGCAGCTGTTTTCTTGTTCTATCTCAGCATTTTGTTCATCTTTCTGTACAGCACACATTTTTGCCCACATCACACACCAGATTGGGAGCTCCTCAAAACAAGGGCAAGCTTAAACAATCTCTGTTATCATGAACATAAGGAATCCATGCTACAAAATGGAATGATGCAGAATGCTACAGAGAAAGATAGATACAAGGGTCTGCAGATTGGCTGAGAAGAGTCCAGAAAACAACAGAAAAATCTCTCTGCTCAGCAACAGCAACAAGAAGACACACTGTCACATACCTCTGGGAGCAAGTGGCATCCTGAAGACAGGAACTGCGTTTTTCCCTTCATTAAGACCATGAAGTGGGGGTGACAGATTTCAGAACTCTTAGATAGAGGAGCATTTCTCATGAATCTTAGAAGATAGGAAACCCAGAGAGGCAAGTTGGATTTCATTCACAGCAGCAGCAGCAGCAGCAGCAGCAGCATAAGCAGAGGAGAATCCGAACAGAGAGGATTTCTCCACTCAGCCACCAAGAATAAAATACCTGAAAGTGGAGGAATTCACAGTATGGGAAACTCAGTTTCTACACCTCAATGATTGTCTCACATTTATCATGCATAATTTTTATGGCCAAAACTTTTTCTCTAATAGACATATAGAAATAATGTCTAATGACTGTCTCCCTCAGAAAATCCTGCTTTGCCTTATAGATAACCTTGCAATTTGAGAAAAAGGAAAGAATGTGCTTCAGTGGAATTCTAGCCATCTGTGACCAAACTAATAGGCAGTTTTAAATTTTTACAAAATTAGGTTATATCCTTCAAGTTCCAAGTCCACTGTACCTTATTCTAATTTCCTCTTTCCAAAAGAATAGGTTGTTTAACCTAACTCTTCCTCCAATGAAAAATAATTAGATGTTAAATATTTTAGTATTTCAAAAAAATTACAGACTTTAGCATCACCATACATGTACTATAGATTCTAAAAAAATGTTGATGACTGGAAGCTGTGTCAATAACTCAACAAATATTTAACAAATGTTTATATTTGTTGCATTTTTTCTTTCAGCTACTTTCCTCTCTCCATTTGTACTCTCAGTCTTGCTTTTTTGTTACTATTTAACTTACTTCGATTTAACTTACTCTCTTCACTGGACATTTATTCCTCCATCATGCTGATAGCTCATTCTCTCATAAGGTCTTAAAGTCCTGAAAGTATTTATCCCTCCATGGCCCACATGCTTAGAAACTAGTTAGGATGAGAATTCATTTAGTTCCTGTTGCCATATCCAACCAGTATTCTTTCCATTGATGTAAAACCTCTCTTATTTGGCAGTAAAGATGACATTGTATTCCTCTTCATTTCTTTAAAATGAGTGTAGGGGAAACCACACTCCATTTCTAAGAGGTTAAGGTGCTTAGGGAAGTGTGGTAGTAAAATATTAAGTAAGCAGTTAGATAAACTAGCAGTTGTTCTACAGTTCAAGAGAAACTGATGCATAGAGTCAAAGATTGGAAATCACCAGCGATTGCTTTCAAGAGAGGCTGAAAAAAGCTCATCTGGAAGCGTGGTGAGTTGGGAGAAATGGTTTTGTAGATGCTTAGAAAGAGAAAGTGAAGATAGGCACCATGTGAAGTACACTATAAACTGGGAAAATACTTATTGTGTCCTGTGACTACTCAGCCATTTGAGACCATAGCAGTATTTTCTATGGGATTGGTGAAACGAAATTACAGTGGGTTTAAAAGTAAAGCAGAAAGATACAGGTAAGAGAAGACTGATCTAAAGTTCAGTTACATACTGCCTTACCAGCCTATACAGAAATGAAGATCAATTTTTTTAATATTTTAATTTATATCCTATCTGAAAAGCAATGACCTTTTCAGATGTCTAAAACCAGAAGAAATCCATGGCATGCATAAAAATCAGTTGGTAGTGGTGATTGGCAGCATAAAGGACCCAAAAAGAAACCGTGTTAGGATTCATGTGGTGGTGAAGGCTGAGGATAGGTAATAAAGAACCTAGCACTAGATCTGTGATGGACTAGGAATCTGCCCCACATAGACTACGGCACTCA